TCCTATCTCTGTCCCCAAAATTACAACTGTGTAAGAACTTAGTCATTTTACTTGGAGGTCAACTCCTTGAATTTCCCTCAATGTAGTGAATACTACTGCAGTTCTTATCAACACTACAATTTATCTCTTAACATTGCATTCCCGCCCTATCATTACAGTAGTCATTGTAAAAATCAAGCACAGTGGTGGGTATTTGCTCTTTTTGGCTGCCCAGAAAATGAACTCCATATCTGTACTAGGGGAATTCTCTACCTCACGATTTTTTGTGGGAAATAGTGTCACTACGCATAACCCTCACCCCCACCTCCACTACCCCCACCCTCTCACTTCCATAATCTCTATTTAGCTCAGCACCTTAGACAAATGAGTTCTTTTTAACTTGTAGGTTGTAGTTCTTTTTAACTTGCTAACAAGTTTTATAGTTCTCAAAACTAACCTTAGAGTTAAGGGTTTCTCTTAGTATCTGTTGAAATCAACAGACCTTATTAATTTAAGCCATTTAATGGCATTGGGCTATTTAAAGCACATAAGTCTACAGAGCATTCATGATTTACTTATCAGTTTCTGACTTGTTTTTTTCTCCAGATTTTCCTGATTATCAAAACTATATATATCCATTGTGGAAAAATTTGGTTAAGTATAGCGATGTATTAAAAAACAGACAAAAACCAACAAAACAGTGTAGGTCCCCACATTGATCTACAGGTTCAATGTAATTCTTATCAAAATTCTTGCTATCTTTTTTGCAGAAATTGACAAGATAATTCTAAAATTATATGGAAATGCAACAGACTCAGAATAGTCAAAAGAATCTTGAACAAAGTGGATGGGTTTATAGTCTCAATTTCAAAACGTAATACTAAGCTACTATAATCAAGATGGTATGACATGAGCATAAGGATAGGCATATAGATCAATAGAACAGAATTGAGAGTTCAGAAATAAACTGTAACATTTATGGTCATTTGATTTTTGACGAAGACGCCAAGACAGTTTAATAGAGAGGGGTGGAGAACAGTCTTTTCAACAGATGGTTCTGGTACAACTTGATATCCACATGCAAACGAATGAATTTGGACCTCTCACACCAAAATTAATTACAATGGATCAAAGACCTAAATATAAGAGCTAAAACTCTTATAAGAATACATATTCATGACCTTGGATTAATCAGTGATTCCCTAGATATGACACCAAAAGCATAAGCAACTAAAGGAAAATAGATAAGTTGGATTTTATCAAAGAAAAAATGATAAATTAGGCATTATCATAATTAAAAACGTTTGTACTTCGAAGGACATTATTAAGACAGTGAAAAGACTACTCACAGAATGGCAGAAAATATTTGCAAATCATACATATGATAAGGGTCTAATATCAAGAATATATAAAAAACTCAGACAACTCAATAATAAAAGAAAACAACCTAATTTAAAAGTGAGCAACGAATTGAATAGACATTTCTCCAAAGAAGATATACAAATGGCCAATAAACACATGAAAAGATGTTCAAATCTTTGGTCATTAGGGAAATGCAAATAAAAGCTACAATGATATGCACTTTACACCTGCTAGGATTACTATAATAAAAAAGGTGGATAATAAAAAGTCTTGAAGATGTAGAGAAATTGGAATCTCAAACTTTGCTGGTGGGCTTAAGCATAAAGTTACCATGTGGTCCATTGATTATGCTCATAAACATATACCCAAAAGAAATGAAAACATATCCATGTGAAAACTTCTACACAAAGGGTCATTGGAGCCAAAAAGTGGAAACTTTGTTTTTTATAATAGCCAAAAAATAAAAACTAGCCAAATGTCTATTAATTGATGAATGGTTAAACAAAATGTGATTTATCCATATAATGGAATATTATTCAATAATAAAAAAAATGACATGCAACAGCATGGATGAAGAACCTTGAAGATAAATGTCAAATGAAAGAAACCAGACACAAAAGACTACGTTTTATGAGTCCATTTACAGGCATACATCAGAGATATTGTGGGTTCAGTTGCAGACCACTGCAGTAAAGTGAATATCACATTAAAATAAGTCACATGGATTTTTTGGTTTCACAGTGCATATAAAAGCTTTGTTTACACTATACTGTAGTCTATAATGTGTGCAATAGCATTGTCTAAAAAAAGCAATGCATACCTTAATTTAAAAAATACTTTATTGCTAAGAAATGATAACCACCATCGGAACTTTCAGTGAGTCATAATGTCATGATGTTGATGGCTGCTGACTGATCAGGCTAGTAGTGGTTGTTGAAGGTTGGAGTGGCTGTAGCCGTTTAAGATAATAATGAAGTTTTCTGCATCAGTTGACTCTTCCTTTGGTGAACGATTTCTCTGTAGCATGCGATACTTTTTGATAGCATTTTACCCACAGCAGAACTTCATTCATAATTGAAGTCAATCCTCTCAAACTCTGCCAGTGCTTTATCAACTAAGTTTATGTGGTATTATAAATTCTTTGTTGTCATTTCAACAGTCTCCATAGCATCTTCACCAGGAGAGGTTTCAATCTCAAGAAAACACTTTCTTTGCTCATCTATAAAAAGCAACTCTTAATCCATTAAAATTTTATCATGAGATGGCAGCAATTCAGTCATATCTTTAGGTTCCTCTACTCATTTAGGTTTCTTGCTATTTCTGTCACATCTGTAGTTACTTCTCCACTGAAGTCTTGAACCCCGTAAAGTCACCCATGAGAGTTGGAATCAACTTCTTCCAAACTCCTGTTAATGCTTATATTTTGATGTCTTTTTATGAATTACAAATGTTCTTAATGAGATCTAGAATGGTGAATCCTTTCCAGAGGTTTTCAATTTACTTTGCCCAGATCATCAGAGGAATCACTGTTTATGGCAGCTATAACCTTATGAAATGTATTTCTTAAATACTAGTACTTGAAAGTCGAAATTACTCCCTGATCCATGGGCTGCAGAATGGATGTTGTGTTAGCAGGCAAAACAACATCAGTCTTGTTTTACATCTCCATTAGAGCTCTTGGGTGACCAGGTGCATTGTCAATGAGCAGTGATATTTTTGAAAAGAATCTTTATCTGAGCAGTAGGTCTTAATAGTAGGCTTAAAATATTTAGTACACTATGTTGTAAACAGGTGTGCTGTCATCCAGGCTTCGTTGTTCCATACATGTTGGAAAATCGGTGCTGATACCCTTGCTTGACGCAAGGTTGCCACAAACCTTCAATTCGGAAAAAACGCAGTATCTGCAAAGCTCAATAAAGTAAGGTATGCTTGTATGTGAAATGGTCAGAGTAGGCAAATCCATAGAGATAGAAAAGTAGATCAGTGGTTGCCAGGGGCTGGAGGAAGGAGGAAATGTGGAGTAACAACTAATGGGTATGGGTTTTATAAAAATGTTCTGGAGTTAGGTAAGGGTGATGTTTGCACAACCTTGTGAATGTGCTTAAAGGCTGAATTTTAAAGGGCAAATTTTATGGTATATGAATTGAATCTCAATTAAAAAAAGATAATTAAACAACAACAAAGTAGAAATCACCTCAGATCCCATTGCCCAGGGACAGCCACAGCATGTTGATCGAACATTTTACAAAATGTAAATTCAATGCTAGGCACCTTAAGCCCTTTATCTACCGTCTGTTTTTCTTCACAATGGCTTTTTGAGTCTTGTCAGAAGTAGGACTCCTGAGGCCTTCTCCAGTGTTCTTTTCACTAATTCACTTGCCTGTTTTGACAAAGAATTTTGGGTGAAGAGAGAGCTTGCTATTCTGGAATATCATTAAAATTTTACAAGGTTAGGTGCTTTACCCAAACACACACTTGACAAAAATATATTTGTTGTGTGGTTCAGTTAGTACTCAGTACTCAAGTTTAAAGATATGCAAAAATTTTTCTCAATGGGTTAAATCTCTGAAGTTAGTCTTTTAGTACCAGAGAGTTTATGTTAATCCTTTTTTCTCCCCCGAGTTTGTAAGAGAAAAGTAAGTAAAATCAGAAATTTCCTTATAGTTGGCCATTCACCTTGGTCTGTTATAATGCTGGGGTTAGAAAAGCTGCTTGGATTTTGTTTTCAAAAAATACTAGTTAACAGAATATGCTATGGTCTGTTGCTCTTCTATGAAGCTAGAGAGTTTAAAGAAAACTACTCACATAAAAAACTTTGTTACAATGATTAATTTTGTTTATTTATGTTCTTAACATTTCAGAGCAACCCGTCATGTGTTCACAGGTTTTATCCTGTGCATTCCTTTCTCGATTGTTTTTCCTCATTAGTGGACTTCTAAAACTTAGTAAACTTAAAATTCCTTGCAAAACAATTAAAAAACTTGGTTAGTAATTTTGGGGGAGGGAGAGTTATTCAGACTTTTTAATGACTTTGACATGAAAATACTGTATTTTTAGAACCTTGAACTTAAAATACTGGTGCTCTGGCTTTATTCTTTTATCATGTAATTAAAAATTATTTTCTATGAAAATTTATTATTTCTAGAAACTTATTAAATCTTGGTCCTGACTGGAAATTTTTCATTGTAGTGTAGTTGATTCCTGCCATTTAATAATGTCTTTTGCATTCTGATTGAAGAAAACTTGCTTTTAGTAAATATTATCATTGAGGTATGAATGTTTCAGTAAATAGCAAAGTGCATTCTTTCTTCCCCAGAAAAATGCTCTCAAAAGTTTGATTTTAATATGATAAATGCTTGGGTATCATAATCTCATAATTTTAATGTAGATCGACCAAGCTTGGATTCTAAATTCTATGAAGGCAGAAATTGTTTTTGTCATTCCTCTATCATCCCAGAGTTTATCCTTATGCCTTCCTTGTCCACAGTAAATGCTTAGTAAGCATTTGTTATATGTATATTTGTAATCACATATATATTTGTTATACATATTGTTTTGTAATATCTGCCCCCCACCCCCACCCCACTGCACAATTATCTAGATGTTGTCAATGGTAACATTGTGTATAATAACTTTTCTTTGTTTTTGTCTTTCTTTAGGTTGGTATTTTGTTTGGCATCTTTTTTTATCGAAATTCAAGTTTCTGAGGGAACTGGTGGGAGACACTGGATCCCAGGAGGGAGATCATGAGCCTTCAGGGTCTGAAACAGAAGAGGATGCTTCATCGTCTCCACACAGAATCAGATCTGCTCGCCAGAGGAGGGCACCTGCTGATGAAGGCCACTGACCCTAGCCATTGTCCTGTGTTAGTCAATGATGAAAGGCAGTTGAGAGCCTCTTGTCTTTAATGACTTGGCTTTGCAATTTGCTAAAATGTTGAAGAACATTTGTACTTGGATATTAAGTCCAATTCAAAAAAAAGGTTTACATGTAAGCCATATAAAAATAAAGGGAATCGAAACCAAATTGGACCATTGCTAATGTCATCTTAAAGATAATCTTTTGCTTTACTAGCTTTTAATTATATACTTATTCCTTGGCTCTTGAGCTTATTTTCTTGCACTTGTGTGAATCTGTTAAACATTACAGGCTTGAAAAACTGTATTTTGTTGGTTTTATAATGTACTCTGCCTCCCTCCCCCTGCCCCCAATTTTAACTTGTCTGAAATTGGGATGCATCCCACGATTACTGTCAACCAGGCAATATTTGATGTAATTTTCCAAGCCTGTGCGTGTTGGAACTTATAGCTTGTCATAGCGACATCACTATATTATTGATATCAAATGTGTCAAATTTAATTGGCATTTAAAAATGTCTTCAAAAGATTACAGCACTGAAACGAAAAATTATTGTGTACACAGAAAAGCATGGAAACAGAGCAGCAGGGCGTACATTTGATATTAGTGAAGCAAATATTTGTCACCGAAGGAATGACTGCAATTCCTTATTTTCTTGTGAAGCAACAACAAAATGCTTTACAAGACCTCAGAAGGGAAGATATCCACAAATAAATGAAGCTGTACTACATTTTGTCAATGAGATATGTGCAAAAGGATTGCCTATCACATGCCAAAAGATGCAGTTGAAGGCGGGGGAAATTGCCAAAACCCTCGGAATAGATGAAACACAATTCAAAGCAACGAGAGGCTGGTGCGATCGATTCGTGTGTTGTGCAAGACTGTCGTTAAGGTGTCAAACACTGTTTTGCTGCTGACATTAAACAAAAGACGGTGGTAGAGCACCCTTTCAAGAAATGCTGCGTCACCAGTGCTCTTGATGATACCAGGGGTGCTGCTGTGTGGAAGAATGTAGATATTGATGACTGTGATAAAAGAGATGATTCAGAAGAGTCGGACTTGGAATATGAAGTTATAGTTATAACTTAACTAGTTTATATCATACACTTGCTTTATGTATGCACAAGATTGATGTGATAAAAATCTGTTTAAAAGTTCTGTTTCAATGAATATAAAATAAATATTCTACACGATGCGAAAGCATTGTCAGTTTAATTGCCTGTGTTTTTTCTCAGTGATACATATGGTGCATCTTACAATTGATGGTATCTTAAATAAAAAAATAGTTTGTAAAATTATTTTTTCCTAGAATAGCAATTATTTATTGGGGAAATTAATTCTGACTCTTACAATGTTATTAAAATAGTTATCCTCTATGAGATACATTTTTAGGGCAACCTATTCAAGACTTTAGTAATTTAGTAATCTAAGAACTGTCTTCTGCTTTAGGAAGAGTAAGATTAGTTGCTCCCTTTGTATGGGAGGACTTCATGCTCAAGGCATGTGTTGTGGAGAAAATATTTCTTCACGAACAGCAATTCAGTGACAAGGTCTCAGAGAAACTGGGTATTGAGAAAAAATAGAGAGTAGGTGAAAATGGCCTGCTTGAACTTTGGACTAAGTGGTTACTGGGGTAGAGAGATATGGATTAAAGAACCTTCCTGTTTAGTGTTTCCTGCTTTGTATAAGAGAGAGTTGCAAAGCTAATATTAATCCAAGTTCTTAAGTTTTTAAAGTTTGTTTCTAAAGTACTAGTCATCACAGAATATCACCTCTGTTTTATGGTGGTGTGTAATTATGTTTGGTACCTCATACTTCATACTGATACTTTTGCTTGTTACTTAACAGTTCACATGCTCTGCCCCAAGTGATATTCCTGATGAACACCTTTGCTATCATTGTAGTCTTTTGTATGTACTAAAAGGGAATTTACAGAGCATAACTTTAGCTTTAAATATTTGCAATGGGAAGATCCCCAGCTGCTGAGAGTGGGGCATAACCTTTGTTTTCATTTCCTTATTGGATGCAGTTTTCTGTTTTTATGTGACTGTAGGGATTTAAACAGTGACACAAGTTTCAAGCATTGATTTTAGTGCTTCGTATTAGCTAAATATCCCATTAAAGCGATCATCAGTTAGGGAAAAAATTGCCTAAAAAGCTTCTTGGTAGTATGAGGATATTTAAATTAGATTTTTCATAGTCTGATATTTTAAGCTGTGGATTCTGTTATATAGCAGATATCGTAGATTTAGATATTTGCTGACAAACTAAGTAGTTGGAGAGTTTTCATGTTGTGTCAGTATTAAAGAACGATGGCTGATATAAACCCCCAAAACCTTCCAAGGGTCATCCACAAATTAATCCATGTAAAGGTGTACATGTTGGCATTATTTATTAATATTTATGCATCAAAGATTTTAAATAGAATTTTAAGAAATGTTCTGCTTTACTTATTTGGGAAATAGATCCAAAAGCATGTTAATAGCTAACACCCTTCTATGTTTTAACTTTTGGGAGAGTAAAAAGAATACCAGTATGAAAATTCTACAAATGAATTCCTCTGAAACCTTTTTTCCCTCAATACAGTCAGCATAGTACGTATTTCTAAGGCCACTAAGAGAGGTAAGAGAAATAGTTGTCAACACAGAATTATTTGTGTGGTATAGTGTCTCTGTTCTTTTTCCTATTTCAGAGCTTTTGTTTCTGAACTAATCAGAACCTCTTCCTAAGGGCATTTTCAGTTTCTCAGTAGGAGATGGAATAACCTGTGGTTAATTTTAAAGTTTAGATGGTTCTGAGCATTAAAAAATAAAAATATTAGTCTTGTCTGAATACTCATTCACAATGATATTAATCAAATATACTATCTTTTGAGGAGTAATTCTAAAATTGAGGACTCTGGTAGGTATTCATTTCCTTTCCAACCAACCATTCCCAAATCTTTCTCTTTGCCTCTCAAACTCTTGTGATAATTGCTGGTATCAGATGTATTGGTAGCACTACTCTGACTTAAATGCCAAAAAACACTAAATATTTGTATAGCACTGTTAAATGAGGTTTTTAATATTTACATCAAGTTAAAAATCATCCAGCAGATTTTGTAGTATTGTTTTCATGGTGGAAACATTGATATGTTGTTATTTGATGGATAGCCAATTCACATGTTTACTGACTCGTTTCTTTAGATATTATTAGGTTTAAAAACAGCTTCAAACTGTTATTGTGTTGAAAGTTGGGAATATGTTAAGTAATGATTTCACAAATATGGCATTTTAAACCAAAACGTGTTGAAAGATTTGACTTGAAAGTAGTATATTTTTACTTTTAAGAGCAACATTTTTTGAAATTATTTTGTCAAAATGCAATATTTTTTGAAGTCAGTTTTTCTGAAAAGTTATGTTTTAATGTAATATGTAACCAATGTAACTTTAGACTTTAACTGGTAAACTTTTGTATTTGAAGTTAACTTTAAAAAGCCAGTGAGCAGTACTCAAATGTTATAGACTCTCAAGCAGCTGATGGAATAGTATTTTGTTATGAAGTCTGGAATTAAAGCACCTTGTATTGTCTGCTTCTAAAATATCTTATAGCTTTTAACTTAAAGCATTAAATGGTAACATTTTAATACAAGTTATGTTGTCCATTTGTTATTGTACATGTGTTGCCTGTTTTATGACCAGTGTTTAACATTACCCTCCAAATCAGTTCTATGCATAACCACTCACTAAATACTGCTGCTGTGGTTTCTTAAAGGAAACATTCTGTGCTGTGCTATGATGCATTGTCATCTTGCTGCTTGACAAATAGGTTTATAAGAATTAGAATTGTGTATGTTAATAGTACTGTTGTATAATAAGATGTAAAATTAGAGATGAGGAGTATGTGTAAGTGATCCTTTATTTTTGTTTTAAAACTGGTCAATACTATATCTAAAGCTTCTGTGGTTTATGTGATGTTTTAACTTTCACTTTAAACTGCACAGAATAAATTAAAATGAAAACAAAAGTTGTGTATGTTTCATTGATAAAGTATAGTGTGAAGGGTACCTTGGACGTGAAATGATTTGAAAGCAGCCGTTTTGCCCAGTGATTCACCCTTCACCTCATATTTCAAACTCCAAAAATCTAAGAATTAAGGCAAGATAGCAGCAGTATTCCGAGCACCATGGAAATAATTGACTTAGAGCCTGAAGGACATATAGCACTAGAGATAAATTACATTTACCATATTTATCCTTTTTGTTTCTTATACTTTAGTATCGTTTTGATATTTTGTACAATATCAAAATACATCATCTGTATATTTGTCTTATATTTTTGTTGGTATTAACCACCAGGAAGACTGAGGAATCTGATCAAAGCCAAGAAAAAGGTTGAGGAATGCCTTCAAAAACCAGTTTTGAGATAGGAGATCATTAGTTGCAGTGGCTTAGGGCCTAAGTCCCCCACCCCCATTTAAAAATTTTTATTAAATTTATTGTGACATTGGTTAATAAAATTACATAAGTTTCAAGTGTACAATTCAATAATACATCATCTGTATATTACATTGCGTGCTTAGCACCCAAAGTCCAATCTTCCATATGTTTGTCCATATGTTTGACCCCCTTTACCCTTTCTCACTTCTCCCACCACCTTTTCCCTCTAGTAATCACCATACTGTTGACTGTGTCTATGAGTGTTTGTCTTATTTGTTGATTTTAGTTTTATATCCCACATATGAATACAATTATATGGTTCTTGACTTTTTCCATTGGACTACTTTTAGCATGATATTCTTTAAGTCCATCCATGTTATTGCAAATGGCAGTATTTCATGTCTTACAGCTGACTAATATTCTGTTGTGTGTGTGTATACACACACACACACACACACACACACACACTCTACATCTTTATCCAGCCATCTATCGAAGGACACTTTGGTTGTTTCCATGTCTTGGCCACCGTGAATAATGCTGCAGTGAACATCGGGGTGCTCATATCTTTATGAAAAAATGTTTTCAAATTTTTCAGATAGAGACCCAGAAGGATTATTGGGTCATATAGTAACTCGTTTCTTAATTTTTTGAGGACCCTGCATACTGTTTTCCATTGTGTCTGTACCAGTTTACATTCCCACTTGTAATGTACAAGGGTTCCTTTTCCTCCACAACCTCTCCAGCACTTATTACTTGTTGATAATAGCCATTCTAACAGGTGTGAGGTGATACTTCATTGTGGTTTTGATTTGCATTTCTCTAATAGCTAGTGAAGTTGAGCATCTTTTCATAAGTCTTTGTTTGTATATCTTCTTAGGATAAGTGTCTGTTCAAGTCCTCTGCCCTTTTTTTCACTGGATTATTTGTTGAATTGTATGAGTTCTTTATATATTTCGGATATTAACCACTTACCAGAGTTGTTTATAAATATCTTCTCCCATTTGGTTGGTTACCTTTTTTTTTTTTTTTCATGTGCCCCAGGCATGAAATTGCTCTGGCCACCAACCCAGGCATCAAAGTAGGATGAACAAAAGACTGTATGTCTGCTTTGACCCTGACTGATATCAGAGCAGCACCACAAGTCAGATGTCTTTATCCATAGCCAGGGGATGGTTGCCTTTTTGTTTTGTTGATAGTTTCTTTTGCTGTGCAGAAGCTTTTAAGTTTGCTGTAGTCTCATTTTATGTTTTGATTTTACTTCCCTTGCTTTTTAAGTCAAATTCATAAAATCCCCTTTAAGACCAAGGTCCGTAAGTTTAGTACCTGTTTTCTTCTATGTGTCTTATTGTTTAAGGTCTTATATTTAGGTCTTTGATCCATTTTGAGTTAATTTTTATATTTGGACTAATGACAGAGCCCAGAAATAAACCCATGTATGTGCGTCTGTGTGTGTGTGTGTGTGTGTGTGTGTGTGTGTGTGTGCGCGCGCGCAAATAATTTTCAACAAAGGAGGATCTTTGGAAACATGGCAGAGTGAGAGACGTCCCCAAATCTCTCCCCTTGAAACAACAATAAAGTGAACATTTAAAACTCAACAAAAAACACCCAAACTGCACACCAGCACGTCTGAGCATGGGATCTGCACATAAGAGCTACCACAGGTCAGAACCCCCCGGGTGTCGGGCGGTGGACTGAGAGAAATAAAGAAATTGCCTCTCGCAGCTGCTGGAGCTCCCTGGAAGAGGAGGAAGAGGGGAGAAGGAGCAGCGAGTTCCCTGGGAAAGTTATGAGCTCCCCATGTCTAGCTGGTGGCAGGGCCCAGTCATCAGGGCAGAAAGCAGAGAAGTGACCAGCAAAAAACAGTTGATTTTTACCAACCACTGTTGCAAAACCGAGGCTGAGACACAGCTCCCAACCCCTAACGCAGAGGCCCCTCCCTCCATACCCTCCGAGACCGATCACCACAGAGCCCAAGGGGAATCTGAGCAAACGTTACCGAAACTGTTGCTAACACTGACAGGGACTGAAACAGGGTAGCGAGTGTGATTAAATATCAGAAAATAAAAAGGCATTTTTAAAGCTTTATATAAAGCAGGGAGCCAAGAAGCTTAGATATCACCTACTGGAAACCAAAAGAAAAGCGCCTTTTCTGCAGCAGGCTAAAGAGAGACCTTTATGTAATAAATCTTTCTGGAAAAAAAGCAGAAGACATTTCCATTAATGCCCAGGCGGAGAAATAGTTCGTCAAACACCATGAACAAACAAGGCGACAAGGCATCTCAGAAAGAGAAAAATGTCCAGAAAATAAGCTTACAGACATAGATATAGGTAACTTGAATGACGGAATTCAGGATGATATTTCTGAAAAAACTCAAGTGAATTCCGAGACAAGTCATATCGACAATTTCAGGAATTGAAAAAAACAACTAGATGAGCAGAGCAAGGAGATTGAAACCCTCAAAAAGAACCAAATAGAACTTCTGGAGATAAAAAACACTGCAAGAGTTGAAAAATGAAAAATCAAGCTTGGGAAGTAGAGTTGACCAAATGGAGGAAAGGATCAGTGATATTGAAGACAGAAATCTAGAAATAAATCAGAAAGAAGAAAAGAGAAACTGAAGAATGAAAAATAATGAAAGAAAAATTCAAGAACTAGCTGATATCACCAGGAGAGGAAACATAAGAATAATGGGCATTATAGAAGGCGAGGAAAAGGAACAGGGATCAGAAAGCGTTTTCAGAAAAATAGTGGATGAGAATTTCCCAAATCTAAGAAATGAGCTGGAGCTTGGAATTCAAGAAATCAGCAGAACACCCAATTATCTCAACCCAAATTCACCAAGACACATTGTATTAAAATTATCAAAAATCAATAATGAAGACAGAATTCTCAAGGCAGCCAGGGAGAAGAAAACGATAACTTATAAAGGTAAACCCATTAGATTATCCTTGGACTTCTCAGTGCAAACCTTACAAGCCAGAAAGGAATGGAATCCAATATTTAAACTATTAAGTGAAAGGAACTACCAGCTTAGAATAATGTATCCAGCTAAGCTCTCCTTTAGATACGAAGGAGAAATTAAGACTTTTCCAGACATACAAAAATTGAGGGAATTCTCCACTACTGTACTACAGGAAATACTGAAAGGGGTCAATTCACCTTAAACAAAATGACAAAAAATATATATACATAATTAGGAGTAAAGTGATTATCAGGCAAATAGAAGCAGAGGAGTGCAACCCTTACTAAGAACAGGGCATTATAAGCTTAAATAATAATAGAATTGTTATAACAAGATAGTGAACATTCGGCATACATAGGGACAAACTGAGACAATAATGACTGAAGAAGCGGGGATCCAAAGATCCAAATTCACAAAGGGGAATGGAGATAAGGCACACGCAGAAGAAAATGGACGACTGTATGTATATACAACTATCCTTTACATATTCGTAATGGTAACCACACACCAAAGATTCAGAACTGAAGTATATAACATAAAACAAGAAAGACCAGAGGGAAAACCCACAAAAGCCAACTAAAATAAAGAAAACAGAAACACAAGGTCAAGGAAGAAATGGAAACACCAAGCTACACAAAGTGAAACAAACACAAAGTGAAA